CACCATCTTGCGCCGCCTCGTATCCGTCCGCAACTGAACTGATTACCCCGGAAGAAGTTCTAAAGGTTTTCCAAACCATCGACGGCCTGATGAACGTTTCCTAATCTAATTAAACATGGAGTCGGGCCGCCGGTGGAAACAATGAAAACAATTATCAACATATTCTTCGAGGTCTGCGATGTCCCCATGTTTTGGAAGCTTATAAGTGTTGTTCTGAATTCCAAGAACCATTCTACTAGCTTTTGAAACTTGTCGGCTTTTTTCGTGATTACTCCTCTACCTTCCACACGGTTACTCTATTTCTACTTCTTTAATCACTGAAGTCTTCCGGATGGTGGTGGTGCAGTGGTTTATTCGCTGTCATCAGCGTGCTTTGGACCGTATGGTCCGAGTCCTGACCCCGTTATTCGACTTTGGTGGCAGGCAGCTTTGTTGTTGTTCGGTTCAATACCACGCCTAACATAACGCCTTTGTGGTTCATCACTCCAAGTCCTGGAGCTTGAGTCACCGGTTTCTATTACCGAACAGCGGGTCCTCGTGACTATGGGGTTCACCCCGTCTGTTGTCCATCACAAAGGTGGCTAATATATATATATATATATATATATATATATATATAATGTGCAAACTATTTTCGCGGTACATACCCATGCGTCAGTATCTCCAAGACCACAAATAAGTAAAATCTAAAGGACCTAAGTCGCAATTTATCCAACGTTGGTTTCGAACTATCAAGCAATCTACAGTGGGAATTTGTAGGTTTTAAATACTTTTAGTACCCGAAATGGTTAAAAAAGAGATATTGACTTGAACCTTTGAGAATTTGACTATTCTGGCTCTAGGTGACGTTGATCCGTCGATATATACAGCGAGAAGAAATGTGCAGATGAACACTTTTCACATTTGAATGGTCGTATTTCACGAAGAGATTTTCATGACACTTATGTTGCATTTGAAGCATCTGTAACCAAACTGGAGGTACCGCAGAAATGCGGAACGTCTGTGGACAAAAGGTACGAACCACTTAGCACAAAACAAAATGGATAAAATCAGTAAGTTGTCTGATGAATATTACATCGTAATTAAAGAACAATAAAACTTTTTTATTGCATCAATTAACTACTGGCTGAATGCTCTGAGTACTGCCACATTGTGTCCGAAGTACGAAAACTACAGTTCAATGGATTAAGTGATGCACGAATTCCCCATTTGCGGACTGTCCATAGCTCATGTTGCTAGCAAAGATAAACCAGATCATAAATTAGAGAAGCTAACCCACAGGAACCAAAAGAGTAGCGTCTTGATTAAAATTTTATCGATAATATCTACAACATTGATACACTTTACAGACTCATGCAGCAATCCATTTCAGGACTGTTTATTTGCTTAACTTGGATAATTCCTCCTGCAGCGCTTGAACCTCCAGTTGCGGCACATAACGTGCTTCATCTGCGTTTGGATCCGTCTGAGGCGAGAAAAAACGGTGAAGATAAAATGGTGACTGTCAAACCGTGTTACCTTCCCAACGGTTAATTCGACACCTTCGGGTAAATTTTGATACAAGACATCCATTATGACGGGTAAGTGGATAGCTTTCAACTTCTCCACCTAGCGTGGAGTCAGTCAAAGAATCACAAGAAATGAGCAAATTACTCGACAAACTCTGTGATATTTAGACAACTCGAACTCTGTTTTCACATTGGTTGAATTCGAATAATAAATTTTGTATCTGGTACGCTGAGCTGGTAAAGCGAATCTATAAACGTTTGAACAAAGTCCTCGTAGCTCACCCGCTGACTTCAAGATTCAATTTGGTGAAAAACTTGCGTAAATATTTTACGTATTGTTCCAAAATTGCGAAATCAAAGCACTTTAGGTCAAACTGAATTTCCGTGTAAATCGGGATGGGTGGTTTCGCAGACTACATGAAAGCGTAAATATTTGAGGAATAAGGTGCTTACCAAATACGGAGGGTCGAGTCGTTTAGTGACCGCATTATATCGCATAAATCGAAAAGGCAGATTGATAATGGTCTGTGACATACTACGGTAAACACACGGGTTTGCCAGCATCGCGTGAGGAAGGTTTAGGGAGAAAGGTGCAAGGTGAAAACTAACAAAAAAGCTGAAATGAAGCGGAAAGGCAAAATAAATGCAAAACGTCTCAGCTGCTTGATAGAAACAAGTGTAATTCAGTTTCAGTCTCCGCTAATAACACTGATCCTGTTCCGTATTATTATTTAAAAATTTCCGAGTTTAGACTGCGTGCAAAACAGTTATACAAAACTACTGATAACAATTTAGTTCCTGAAGCATTACTCACGGCTCAACAACTACAGAACCAAGCATTGGTGCCTATTCGTTGTCTGTGTATGCACCGACTGATTGCAGTTCACCAGAAATGAAGGATGAGTTCTACAAGGATTTCTCTCAACTTCTCCAAAGTGCTTGATCAACGGACATCGTGATAGTCACTGGAGACGTCAATGCTCAAGTGGGATCCCTGGACGAATCAGAGAGGCTACTTGGTAGTTCACATGCAATCCCAACCGACAGGACTGACAACGGAGAACGCCTACTCCATCTTTGCGCTGACCACAGGCTGTTTTTGTCAAGCACAAACTTCTCGCACAAAAAACGGCATCGCCTTACATGGAGACCGCCAACTTCTTCCCAGCGCTAGACTCAAATCGACCACATCACCATCAGCCACCGCTGGCAAGGATCCATGGAAAAGTGCCGCTCCTACTGGCCAACACTCGTGGACACGGACCATGCTCTGCTACGAGCGAGATTCTATACATATTATATTTAACACCGGCTTGCGGACAAGCATGTTGCCAACGCCAAAACAATAATAACGATAACGATATAGAAGAGGAGGTTGGGATACAGAACATATCATCATCATCATACAGCGAAATACAGTGAAGCGAAGTTCGCTGATCGCTGCCAAAGAACATGGGAAAAAGATGGAACTGCTAACATGGGAAATAGTGAATAAATGGGATGACAATTGTTTTGCATTTCACCGTACACTTTTTGAAATTTTTGTGTGTCAGTTTGTCTTTTTTCTTATGGGGTATGGGATTTCCCCAGGCAAACCGTACAGCATTCGCGCCACTGATTTCTATTCTGGGCCATATCTCTCAGCGTCTCTAACCAACAACAATACTCATCCCTTGGGCCCCAACCTGGAAGGTGGACTGCACCAACCGAAGCCAGCTTCTTCATACCTCTACACCATGTCATGGTCTGACTGCTGCGGCGTTTCTTCCAGCCTTGTCCGGCACGACAAAAGAGGGCAAGGAGAGGTAGTCGATGAGTAGGCATATGCGAAACGTGACCAAGCCATCGGAGGCGGTGTAGAGCGATTACTTCTGTTAGATGACGACTATCCACACCGAACAGACGACGACGAACCTCGTCATTACTCACACGATGTTCCCACCAGACACGAGCAATGCTTCGGATACATCGGTGGTCGAATACGGAAAGTTGATTAGCATCTTCAACGCGGAGGGGCTAGGTCTCGCAACCGTAATGCAAAACGCTGTGAACGGCGGCGACGTACACCCTTCCTTTAAGAGATAGTCAGATGTCATGGCGGCGCCACATGTATCGCAGGTTGGCGAAAGCTGCTCTAGCTTTCGCTATTCGTGATGTGATCTCTTCCCCAACACCAACACCAGTTGCGATCAAGCTCCCGAGGTACTTAAAGCTCTCAACTACTTTCAGCTCATCACCACAGAGAGTGAGTGCAGGTACAGGCTCCTGCCAGTCTTGAACAAGCACTTTGTACTTGAAGGTGCAAAGCACACGCCATACCTCGATCGCAAGCGGTTTAAAACGTCTTGGACTGCCTGTGTTTTAACCCAACAAGGCGATGTCATCGGCATATTCCAAGTCAAGAACTCTGTTCCCTGAGAGGAGTTCGACTCCGCCGTTTGCTAGACCGGACAAAGCGTTCTGTAGAACATCCTCTATCACAAAGTTGAAAAGGAATGGGGATATAGGGCAACCTTGTCGAAATCCACTGGAGACGGCGAAGGGTGGCGAAAGCTAGCTATAGGCCCTAACCCGACCTGAGGTATAACTATACAACTCTTTGAGGATCGACACACTTCTCAGGTACTCCATCCCTCAACAAGCAGTTCCATATTGCGGTCCTATCGATAGAGTCGAAGGCCACGCGAATGTTAAAGACTACAATGACCGTTGGTCTTTTAATAAGCATGACGGTGCTCAAGCAACTGTCGGAGGGTGAAGATTTGATCGATGCATCCACGACCGGCGCGAAACCGAGCCTGCTCCTCACACGCAGCATACAATCGGCGGAGAATCATCATCATCATCGTACAGCGAGATACAGTTAAGCGAGCTTCACTGATCGCTGCCAAGGCGGAGAATGACGGACGCCAACAGCTTTGACGATATTGGGATTAGACTTATTCCCCTATGATTGGCGCAGTCATTGCGTGGGCCATTTTTGAAGATGGGGATGACAATCGAGTCCCCCCACAAAGAGGGGATCTGCTCACTGTTCCAAACTTTAGAGAACAGAACTTGTAGTTCTCTAACAAGCTTTATTCCACCATCTTAAAGTAGAGCAGGAGGAAGGCCATCGGAGCCCGGCGCTTGGATCTCCTTACGGACTTCCACCTCAGGTGGGTCTGTTGAGACAGACCATGGGACGTGTGCCGGAATAGCTGTGTGAAAAGCTGACGTTGGTGGCCAGCTAAACTGTGCCTTGAAGTGCTCCTTCAAGCGTTCAAGATGTCGCTATTGATTGTGAATGGGCGAACCGTCAGCTTCGCAGATCGGTTCGCTCACACCCAAGGCTTTCCTACCGGTGACCCGGATGAGATGGAACAGCTTACGGGAGTTTCCTATGGCGGCAGCACGTTCCATCTCTGATGCGCGTCGAGTCCACCAGATCTCGCGGTCTCTGCGTAAGCTTGCCTTGAGGTTACGACTCGTTATGAGTCGTATTTCGTTATGCTCGCTGCTGGTCGGAATTGATCGGCGTGCGTCGAGAAGGCGCGGAGATTGCGCAGAAATCCAGGGTGTCGCGGCACGGCGTATCAGACCTCAACTAACTAAGCCAACAGAATGCAGAGCATCCTTGATAAGCGAGCGAGATTCTCCCTACGCCTAGCAAACAACCGCAGAAACGCTACCGAAAACAGACGCCTACAGGTCAGCAATGGTTGCAGTGCTTGTGAAGTGGCCACTTCACAAGCACTGATGATGTCACCTCGGCTGGTGATGAAACGTTTGCAAACAAATTGCCAAGCTCGGCGAACAGGCGAAATGGAATATTACCATTAATCTTGTATGCACGGCGAGTTGGTCAACGATCGGTGAAGTTTGCTTCACTGCATTTCACTGCACGATGTTGGCTGTCTGCTGAAAGTGAACGATGCACGTGTGGAAACTAGGCTGATTTTAGACCGGGTCGAGGCTGTATAGACCACATCTTCACTCTTCGATAAGTTTTAGAACACAGACACTCCTTTCGCATACCTATTACCCCTGTCTTCCTTGATCTGAAAGCGGTCTTCGACTCAATAGGCCTCTCTATACTCTGGCTCTGCTTCTCTCTGAAGGGTACACTCGATAAGTTAATTTCAATTGTGCGATCTTCTCATTTCATTGACCGAAGTCGAGTCCGAGCTCACGGCAATTTTTTGCCTCAGTTCACCACCGAAAGTGGTTTACGTCAAGATTGCCTTCTCCCTTCTTTTCTATTTAACTTTGTCATAGGTTTAATTCTGAAACAGCCCTATTCACGTGCGAGGATAGCGGTATCGATTGGCTCCCAGATGGCAGACTGATCTGGAGTATGCAGACATTGTGCTACTATGTGGTCGGCTTCCATATATTACGTTGGTTAGGGTGTGTAGCGCATGTCACTAAATAGGTTGCCACGGCGTACGGTTCGCCGAGGCAGTGACTGGAAGTGGGCCAAGGGTAGTCAAACTAAGACTTGGTATGCGAGCATGAAAACCTTAACCAGGAGACGGCCATATAGGTCGCTTGCGCTCGCTAGATAGAGCATCATCATCATCGTATAGCAAGATACTGTGAGGCGAACTTCACTGATCGCTGCCAAGCTCACAATGTACAGAAATCAAGTGATAAAGCACAAGATGGGGAGGCATTGGGCCTGATTGGAGAGGCAAGGAATGTGAACCTCTATGGTCAACACAGAATACACAATCTAACTGTGCATTCATACCCTTCAAACATTCTGACTTGATAAGAAATGACGACAAGAACGCCACTGCTGTCGTTTAGTCGCATATCCTTCAGTGTCTCCAGCCAGCCAATGGCAGTCTTTTGGACCCCAACCTGGAAGACGGGGGACACTGATTCTACCTAATCACTCTATGCATTTCTTCATGCCTCGTTCCCACATCATCGGGTGGCCTCCACGCGGTTTCTTTCAACCTAGAACCGAAACTGCGAATAAGGCGAGGTGCGGTAGACGATGATTGGGCATGCGCAATACGTGTCCTAACAAGCGAAGCCGACTAATCTGAATCCGATCGGACATCGAATTCTCCTAAATACGCGAGGGCTTAGCTCAGTCGCTTACACGCTCACTCCATCCAACCCGCGCCAAACTACGTAAACATAAATAGTTGAAGACTTCTAGACGAATATCTTCCACACGCAAATTTAAGGTCTCGCAACCATAGAGCAGAACTGACCGCACACTGGCGCAGTATACACGACCTTTCAGTATCGATGAAACATCGCGTCTGCACCTAAGGTGTTTCAGTCCTGCGTAACCTGCTGGAGCGGGTGGTTACTTCATTGGCTACGTTACCGTCATTTGTCACGCAACTATTTAAGTAGGTGAAACATTCCACATCTAATTCTTGACCATCGAGCATCAGTGCTGGGGTAGACGAGACCCTGTCTTGTAGCATCACTCTGCACTTTGAAGGTGCAAAGCGCATGCCGAAAGGAGATACAGAACTTGAAAGTTTGTTAACAGCGCTTTGCGCATCCTCCATAAATTCGAAAAGGCACACGATGTCATCCGCGTACTCCAAATAGCACAG